GGTCCTGCCTAGGTCCCCGTGGTCCTGCTTAGGTCCCGTGGTCCTGCCTAGGTCCCCGTGGTCCTGCCTAGGTCCCCGTGGTCCTGCCTTGGTCCCCGTGATCCTGCCTAGGTCCCCGTGGTCCTGCTTAGGTCCCCGTGGTCCTGCCTAGGTCCCCGTGGTCCTGCCTAGGTCCCATGGTCCTGCTTAGGTCCCGTGCCAGTCTGATGGCAGACACAGCCTCTGCCTGCGGGGACCTCCAGGTGGAGCAGAGGTGACTTTAGCCTCAGGGACCCCTCACCCTGGTGGGGGAGTCCTTCCCCGGGAAGCCCCTGGTCTGAGGCTGGGGAGACTGGACCAGCCCAGCGTCCTGTGTGTCCTCCTGTGTCCCCCAGGGCCACCCTCGGCACCAGTGAACCTCATCTCCAGCGTAAATGGCACGTCTGTGACCCTGGAATGGGCCCCGCCCCTGGACCCAGGTGGCCGCAGTGACATCACCTACAACGCCGTGTGCCGCCGCTGCCCCTGGGCGCTGAGCCACTGTGAGGCGTGTGGGAGCGGCACCCGCTTCGTGCCCCAGCAGACCAGCCTGGTGCAGGCCAGCCTGCTGGTGGCCAACCTGCTGGCCCACATGAACTACTCCTTCTGGATCGAGGCCGTCAACGGCGTGTCCGACCTGAGCCCCGAGCCCCGCCGGGCGGCCATCGTCAACATCACCACCAACCAGGCAGGTAGGCGGAGACGCTCCTCCGGCTCCGGGCCCACCCGTGCCCACCCGGGGGGTCAGAGCCCGGCACAGACTCGCGGTGGGCTTTGGGCAACTGGCCGCCTCTCCTGGGCATGTCCACTCTACTAGGACCCAGAGCTGGGGTCTTCTTTTCTTAGAAAAGTATAGAATGACCAGGCAGTGGCACACGGCTGTAATCCCAGTGGCTCGGAGGCTGAGGCAGGAGGATCGAAGGTTAAAGCCAGCCTCAGCAAGAGCGAGGCCCTGAGCAACTCAGTGAGCCCCTGTCTCTAAATAAAGTTCAGAATCGGGCTGGGGGTGTGGGTCAGTGGTCGAGTGCCCCTGAGTTCAATCCCTGGTACCAAAAGAGAAAGAAAAGTAGAGAATGTTCTTCGAGGGAAGAATCCAGAAAGCAGAGGTAGGCTGCGTGGCCTCGCTGGCCTGCGTTCCGGAACTTTCTGTATCTGACCACCACAGCTGTGTGGTACTGTTGTGAGGCTTCAGAGAGAGAGAGATGGAGAAGCTCTCAGCCAGCGCCCGGCCCGTGGCACATACTCAGTTCATGTCATCAGAAGGTGACGTCACTTTGATGACCTTTTTCCAGGGCAGCTGCCTCGGCTGCCCCTGGGAAGGACTTGGTGACACTGGCCTTGACCTCGGCCATTTATCTGTTTCTGGCCAGTCCTTGGGCTGCACTGAGCCCCTGGGAGCTCTCTCTAGACTCTGGGGGGTCCTGCCTGCCAGGCGGCACAGTGACCTCAGAGTCCCCAGATGGCCACCCCCAAGTGTGTCCCCACCAGCCCAATCTGGAGTGTGCTGGGACCCCTCGGGGTTCTCCCCCGCCCCACGCAGGCCTGGCCCAGCACACTTCCCACAGACCCCCAGAGCCACCCCGTGTCACCCACGTAGGAAGAGGCAGGTCTGTCTCATGGCCGAGTGCAGCAGCCTCCCCACCAAGTGGGCACCTCTCTGACACCTCAGCTTCGCCCACCGGGGGACCCCTGGCTCAGCAGCCACGCGGGGCCCTGCCCTGCCCACCTGCTGACAGGGCCACCGGGGCAGGTGGCCGGCTGGTCCAGGTGGAGGGAGGAGCACGAGAACCAGCAGCCATGGACAGCGCCCAGTGTCCACTCTCCAGGATGAAGCAACGGCTTCATCAAGGTCCCCGCTAGGGAGAGAGCGAGCCAGGTGCGGAGCCACCCTGACCCCAGGCTGGGGACATTTCCTGTCCCAGACGCGACTCTGCACTCTGTTCTGAACGTTTCCTGTCGGTCACCAGCAGCATTCACTGGGCTCCTACTCTGTGGCCCCTGCCTCCCAGGACTCCCGGGCATGCTGGGGAGACGGGTCGTCAGATGTGGGGGACACGGGGTGGGGGGCAGAGTCAGGGCTGGGGTGAGCAGAGAGGCCAGCAGGGGGCAGTCCTGTGTGTGTCACCTCAGGGTCATGGCCCTGGTGGGGAGGGAGGGGACGGTGTGCTGGCCAGCCAGGGAGGACACGGCTGAGCACCCTTGAGTGCCACAGCCGGCTCAGCCCCTGCCCTTGCCCCTTTCTGGGGACTCGGGCTGAGGGTGGCCCCTCCATTCTTCCCCTCTGTCCCTCTCGCTCTCCTGGGCCCTGCTCCCCCAGGGCCTGTCTGGGTCAAGTCCAATGGGTCCTAGACGGGAGCCAGGCGCGGCTCGGGCTGACCCGGGAGGCCGTGGCGCTCTGCTGGGCGGACCGGTGCGGGTGCCCTGGGCCGGGCGGTCAGGGGCTGAGCTGGGCCACCCGGGCGGGGGGACGTCCTGATGGCGCTGTACCCACGCCCCCCCGGGCGGCCGCCCAGCCCCGTCCCAGGTGGTGGTGATCCGGCAGGAGCGCGCGGGCCAGACCAGCGTGTCGCTGCTGTGGCAGGAGCCGGAGCAGCCCAACGGCATCATCCTGGAGTACGAGGTCAAGTACTACGAGAAGGTAGGCGGCGGCCCGCTGACCCCCTCCCGCCCCTGCCTCGTCCTGGTCCTTGTCCGTGCCCTTGTCCTTGCAGGACAAGGAGATGCAGAGCTACTCCACCCTCAAGGCCGTCACCACCCGGGCCACCGTGTCGGGCCTCAAGCCGGGCACGCGCTACGTGTTCCAGGTGCGGGCGCGCACGTCGGCGGGCTGTGGCCGCTTCAGCCGGGCCGTGGAGGTGGAGACCGGGAAGCCCCGTGAGTGCCGCCGGGCCTGGCGGGCGGGGGACCAGTGGGACAGCGGTCAGCGTCTCCGCCGGTGACAAACGGAGGCTCAGAGAAGGAAAGGCACTTGCCCAAGGCCACAGAGCAGACAGCCTGTCCCCAGCTGCTGCTGCTGAGCCTCCTGAGGCCCTGGCCAGCAGGCCTTGTGTCTGTCCCCGAGGCAGCTCTGGGGGGTCCCCTGGTATAGACAGCGAGGTCAGGGTCAGCGCAGTGAGGGGGTTCACAGCACAGGACCGCGGCCCCCTGGGACCCAATCCCAGGCCCTCCCCCTGTGTCATCCGGCTCCAAGGCCCCGCCCAGCAGGGGCTCCCCAGGTTCTGCTGGGACCTGCAGCATGGCCGTCACCTGCAGCATGGCCGTCACCTGCAGCATGGCCGTCACCTGCAGCATGGCCGTCACCTGGAAACTGATTAAAAATGCTAGTGCTCAGCCCCCTCCCGCTCTGAATCAAAAACTCTGGGGGGCGGGGCCCAGCAATTTGGGTCTCCCTAAGCCTTCTGGGGTCCTAAAGCCTTCCAAGTTTGGGGACCCCTGACATAGAGGCTGACCCTCATATTCATCACCTGAGGCTCTGGCCAGCGGAGGTCTTCTCCTAGCCACAGGACAGACTAGGTGACCGCCCAGCTGGCACTCCCCTGCCACCGTGTGTCTCCAGTGCTCAGACTGGAGGCAGGGATCCTGCCCCCTTCCGTCCCACGTACTGTGTGGCCTCGAGGAAGTTGCTTGAGTTCTCTGAACCTGAGTTTTCTTATCCGGAAACAAGATAATCCTGAGGCCTCCCCGGAAGGGCTCTGGTGAGAGCTCGCCGAGTTGTGGGGCGGATCTCAGCCCAGTCCATCCTGGTCCTGGAGCGTGGCGGGCAGGACGGCTGTGCGCTTGACTCCTTGTATTTGCCTCCGAGAAGTAAAGTGAGACCCCCCAGGTCCCGTGTCCAGCAAGCAGTGACTGCAGCCGGACAGCTGGGGCAGCAGGGACTCTCGGGAGGTTAGGGGAGGGCGGGTGGGGACCAAAGGCTGGCTCATGGCCGAGGAGGTGCCCACTGGGCCCTGGGCAGGGTCACCCGATGCCAGTGCTGAAGGCAGGGTCCTCCACCTGGCTCCCCGTGCAGGGCCCCGCTACGACACCCGGACCATCGTCTGGATCTGCCTGACGCTCATCTCGGGCCTGGTGGTGCTTCTGCTTTTGCTCATCTGCAAGAAGAGGTGGGTGGTTCTGGCCCCCACGCCACCCTGAGCCCCTCTGGCACTGCACCTCCCACCCATCCCAAGCCCCACTGAGCCAGTGGCCCCCAGGTGCCTGGGGCCGGCTCATGTTACAAACTCGTCACTTCATTTAATCCCAGTGACATTCCAATAAGGTAGAGATTCTGGCCTCATTGTGCAGGTGAGTAAATTGGGGACCAGAGAGGCTGACCTACTTGCAAAATTCACACAGCTGATGAGTACCAGAGCTGGGACGTGAACTTAGGCCTGTCAAAGGAGACGGTGCTCTCGGTCCCTCTCCCCTGTGAAGAGTGCTGAGTGTGGACCATTCAATGACTGGAGAGAGCCAGGGACCCACCAGGGTCGCCCAGCGGGGTCCCCTCCCCCCGGCAGGGTTTCATGTCCACGGGGCTCTGCCAGGTGGGTGAGCCGGGCTCGAGGGCATCTCATAGACTGTAAACTGCTTTGTGACTGAACAGCTGTCACAGTTCAGCTGGGTGGAGGACGGGGACTCTCCCCTGCAGACTCCTCACAGGGCAGGGGCTGGCCTGGGCCCAGGCAGAGCCGTGACCGTCCTCCACAGGCACTGTGGCTACAGCAAGGCCTTCCAGGACTCGGACGAGGAGAAGATGCAGTACCAGAGCGGCCAGGGTGAGCGCAGGGCCTGGTGCCGGGCGGGGCCGCACCGTGGGGAGGGGACAGTGCCTGCAGAGAGGCTGAGCCAGAGACAGGTGCCGGGCGCCCCAGAGAGCCAACCCTGGACACCAGTGCTGCCCCCTCTCCTGGACCAGGGACCCCTGGAGGACACGGGGCCCTCTCCCAGGGGAGTGGAGTGTCATTTGTGTGCTCTGCAAGTGACTTTGGGGGCTCCTACACTTTAGACAGGACCCCACTATAGAGAGGTTGTCAGAGTCCTCCCCATGGATGTGGGGACGCCTGTGCGCACACCCCGCTCCTGGGCGCCACAGGATCAGTCCCGGTTCCGTTCCTTCTCAACACAGACTCTGGGAGCCTCAGAGTTGGCAGTCCCAGCACAACTGTTTCCTTTTGGGGGCGCGGTGTATTCTCACCCCAGAACGATTCAGAAAGAGCTCAAGAATCCTACCAGTGACCCCGGAAAAGCCCCTGGAGTCCCAGACTCCGGAGCTACTCCATAACGACCCCCTGGTCACTTGGCAAGCACTTACAGAGTGCCTACTGTTTGCAGAGGCTCCCACAGACGCCCTTCACTCCACCCCAGACCCGTCCCAGGCCCAGGGGGACTCCCTCCCGAGCCCCGCTGAGGCCCTCTCCCGCCCCTCAGCGCCGCCCCCCGTCTTCCTGCCCCTGCACCGCCCCCCGGGGAAGCTCCCCGAGCCCCAGTGCTGCGCCGAGCCGCACACCTACGAGGAGCCGGGCCGGGCGGGCCGCGCCTCCACCCGCGAGATCGAGGCCTCCAGGGTCCACATCGAGAAGATCATCGGTTCCGGTGAGTCCCCGGGGCGGCGAGGGAGGGGACAGCACGGAGGGCCACCAGGAAGGGGGACCCAGGGCAGAGGGAGAGGGGCACGCGGGCCAGGGCCAGAGGAGGGTCCCACTGCCCCCTGCCTGCCCTCTCGGGGTCCACAGGGGAGTCCGGAGAAGTCTGCTACGGGCGACTGCGGGTGCCGGGGCAGCAGGATGTGCCCGTGGCCATCAAGACCCTCAAAGCCGGCTACACGGAGAGACAGCGGCGGGACTTCCTGAGCGAGGCCTCCATCATGGGCCAGTTCGACCACCCCAACGTCATCCGCCTCGAGGGCGTCGTCACCCGTGGTAGGTGGCCGGCCAGGGCAGCCTCAGCCTGCAGGGGCCCTGCTGCCCAGAGCGGGCTCGGAGTCCATCCCTGGGCCACCCTGCCCCTCCTTGCCCCCCGGATTACTCTGGGGGTGGGGTGCACTCCTAGGGTCTCTGATCAGCGCCCTGTCCCCCACAAGAGCCAGCGTCTCCCCTCCTGTCCAGGCCGCCTGGCAATGATCGTGACGGAATATATGGAGAACGGCTCTCTGGACGCCTTCCTGAGGGTGCGTGCCCTGCCCTGCCACCCACGCGGGCCGGGGGAGGGGAGCCCTCCAAGCCCACCCCCCCGTCTGCACCCACACACCTGGGGAAAGCGGAGGCAGGTCCCGGCAAACTGCCTTTCAGTCCCCACCACGAAAGTCCCCTGCTCCCAGGGTCCGCCCCCAGGCTGAGGGGTGTCTCTGTGGGCTCTGAGGCTGCCTGTGCCACCAGCCGGGAGGAAGTCGGGGGGTCCTCAGCTCCCGCCCTGCTGTGTATTTGCTGGTTGCTGTTAGGCCCAGGACTGAACCTCTCTGGGCCTTCATTTCTCCTTATGCAAAATGGATGAGCAGCCCACCACCTCCCAGGCTGGCTCGGGCTTGCTGGGAGCACGTCAGACCCCAGGATGAACCTTGACCCCTAGGAGCTCTGGAAGCAGAGAGGCACATCCAGGGCTTGAGGGTCCTTCACACAGAAGGACTCCTGGCCAGGGACCAGGCGCCGGGCGGGGCGCCCCCAGCCCATGACATGCTGCTGCGCTGTGTGTTCCACAGACCCACGACGGACAGTTCACCATCACGCAGCTGGTGGGCATGCTCAGAGGCGTGGGCGCCGGCATGCGCTACCTCTCAGACCTGGGCTACATCCACCGTGACCTGGCTGCCCGCAACGTCCTGGTGGATGGCAACCTGGTGTGCAAGGTGTCGGACTTCGGGCTCTCGCGGGTGCTGGAGGATGACCCCAATGCCGCCTACACCACCACGGTGCGTCGCCTGCGCCCCTGCCCTGGGGACAAGGTGGCAGGTGGGCTGCCCCAGTCCAGGCCCTGGGGTTCTGCTACATGGAGCTGGTGGAGAGCGGCAGGGTCTGGGGTGCCTTCGATGTGGGGCAAGCCCTGTCTCCCCTTTTCCACCCCAGATTCCCACTGCGGGAAACGGGGACAAACTGGCCTCCTCCAGGCACCTGGGGAAACGCTGGGCTGGGGCCAGCGGTCACTCACTCTCATTGGCGTCTCTGAATCGTAGACTCCGCGCCTGTTTCTAGAGTTTGGCTGAAAACCAGCTTCGTCCCAGGGTGTTGGGTGGAGATTCGGGTTTCTGCCCAGGTGCCTTGGGACCCGCCTTAAAACAGATGGAGTGGCAGGGTGTGGCCACCGTGGCCCCAGCAGGCTGCCCTTTGGACCTGGCCCCTGGGTCAGGTTTCACACAGAGGAAGGATTCCATGACCAAGAAAATGAGGAGGAGGAGGAGGACAGAGGACTAGAAAGGGACCAGGCGTCCCCTGCTGGCTCAGGCACTGACCTGACTGCCCGGCACTCTGCACCTGGCTCACTGTCCCCACAGGGGCTCTGAGAGGTGGGCCTCCCTGCTCAGAACATGCGCTCTTGGAAGGTAGCGGCCGAGTGTCCTCCATGAGACTGGGGAACAGAGCCCCTGGCCCCCTGGCCTGGGCTAGGGCAGAGCCTGGACCCGCCCCAGCCGGGCCTAAGCAGCCCCTCCACACTCTGTGCCCATCGCAGGGAGGGAAGATCCCCATCCGCTGGACGGCGCCCGAGGCCATCGCCTTCCGGACCTTCTCCTCGGCCAGTGACGTGTGGAGCTTCGGTGTGGTCATGTGGGAGGTGCTGGCCTACGGGGAGAGGCCCTACTGGAACATGACCAACCGGGACGTGAGTGCCGGGCCGGCTGGCAGGGGCGCTGTGGAGCCCGTGGGAGGCGCGTCCTGACCAGCGCTGTGCCCCCAGGTCATCAGCTCCGTGGAGGAGGGGTACCGCCTGCCTGCGCCCATGGGCTGCCCCCGCGCCCTGCACCAGCTCATGCTGGACTGCTGGCAGAAGGACCGGGCCCAGCGGCCGCGATTCTCCCACATTGTCAGTGTCCTCGATGCGCTGATCCGCAGCCCCGAGAGTCTCAGGGCCACGGCCACGGCCGGCAGGTACCTGGCGGCCACCCCCACACTCAGGCGGCCCAGCTGACCTCCCAGAACTGCCCCCGCATTGCCCTACCGAATCCAGGCCCTGGTCCCTTCCTCAGTCCTCTCCTTCCTGGGGTCCGACCTGGGGAACCCTCTGGTCACTGCTGAGCTGGGGTGGAGCCAAGGGTGGCCACAGTCCTGGCAAGCCACTGACTGGGGTCCCCTGCGCCTCAGGTGCCTGCCCCCTGCATTTGCCAGGAGTTGCTTTGACCTCCGAGGGGGCGGTGGCGGCGGGGGCCTCACTGTGGGGGACTGGCTGGACTCCATCCGCATGGGCCGGTACCGGGACCACTTCGCGGCTGGCGGGTACTCTTCCCTTGGCATGGTGCTGCGCATGGACGCCCAGTGAGTGAGCCGGCCGGGTCCTCAGAGGGTGGACGGACAGCAGATGCTGGAGCAGAGCTGGGGTGGGCTCGGGGCTGGGCTTGGTGCTGTCTTCTTGGCTCCTGGCCTCCCGGGTCCCCTGGTCAGCCCTTCACTTCCTTCACAGGGATGTGCGGGCCCTGGGCATTACCCTCATGGGCCACCAGAAGAAGATCCTGGGCAGCATCCAGACCATGCGGGCCCAGCTGACCAGCACCCAGGGGCCCCGCCGGCATCTCTGACGCATGGCCACCAGCTGGACAGCATCAGCCTAGGTCACACCAGCGGTCAGAGGACGTGCTGGGCTATCAGCAGTCGGGTGGTCCCAGGTCCCTCCTCTCAGGCACTGGAGAGGCTGAAGGCTCCACCACAGGACCCAGAGTTACAGGGGTCAGGCACCTGGAGAGGGGTCCTTGGTGCCCAGTGTGGAGGTCACCTGCCCCCGGGGACAGAGGGCCTTCTCTCTTCCAGACCCCAGGGCCTCAATGCCACAGGGTCCAGCAGAAATGCGGTCACTGGCTCTGTGTGTGAACATGCCCACTGTGTTCCCACAAGGCCTTGGGCCATGTGAACAGCGTGTCCCCAGTGAGTTCCCAGCACAGACGCGCACGTGTTGTGATGCCTGTGCTCATCCATTAAGGCTGGGGCCACATGTGGGTGACAGTGGGTGATGTGTCATGAATGAGGAGGTGTGACAGGCATGTGAGCAGGGACCAGGGTGTGGCACTGCCCACATGCCTGGAGGCTGGAGCCAGGGCCACTTCTGAACCTCACCAGCACCAGGCCCACCCTCCTGCTGCCTGGGAGAGCCCACCCCGCTGCATCTCAGGTCCGGGCCTCCCCTGCAGCTGGGGGCCACCTGCAGCCCCCACCTGGCTTCCCCCACTGCTCCACAGGAAAACAGGGTTCCCGGCCAGTCCCCTGGCCACCTTTCATGTAGGCATCACAGTAGGGAACACAGACGCACCCAGCTGGACTTGGCTGCCTGGCCAGGGCCGGCGTCCACTTCCCTCTGTCTGATGCCCATCCTCCCCCACCGCCAAGGTGTCCTCAAGTGGCAGCCCCTTGGCCAACCTCTCACTGCCTGCCCCGCCCCTACCCCTGCCCCCTGTCCCACCGGTGCCCAGGATCAGAGAACAAAGGTCCTGGCCGCTCAGCTCCAGGCCCCGCTTCCCGATGCAGAGGGGCTGGAAGGGGTTCTGCTCGCCCCAGGCCCCCAGCAGCTCAGCTTCGGAGCTGGGCCTCTGTCCTCCCAGCCCAGGGCCCTTCTCACGGTACTGGCCCCGGGCGGTGGGAGGAGCCAGGGGAGCCCCGCCCCTCGCAATCCGGCCCTCCCCCTGACGGCCCACCAGGGTATGTAAATATGTTTTCTATTATGTCGGAATATTTTTCCTCACTCCTGACAATGCAAAAATGGTCTTCAAAGCACATAAAAAGCACCCAGGGTGAGAGAGCCCCATCCCGGGGGGGTTGGCAGGCAGGACCCAAGGAACGCCACCGGGTGCCCTGCGCTCCCCAGAGGGAGGGGCCCGCCGCGCAGCCCCTGCCCAGCCCCTCGCCATAGCCAGCACAGCTACTGCGGAGGCACCAGCACTGAGCCCCCTCTCCCCCCTGCAATAATTCGGGGGTCTCAGCGGTCCCGGTGCCCTGGCGGCTCGCCCTGCCCCCTGCGCTCTGCGCTCTGGGCCGAGCTGCTCTTCCTTCCTATGGAAGGGGAAACACGGTCAGGAGGAGCCTGTCTTCCGCCCACCCCGCTCGCTCTCACCTGGTTTCTGCGCTCGGGATCCTGACGGTCACGTGTGGGAACACGTGGGCCTGGCACTTGCAAAAGTGTGGCCCCTGCCCCAGGAGCGGGTCCCCCTGGGGTCCCAGGGGCCTGCCTCTCTGTGGTCCCCATCCTGAGTCTTGAACTTAACTACAATGAGAATAAATTCTGCCTCATCTTTGCCTGTGTCCCCACTTTTCCGTCCCTCCCGGGAGGGAAGGAGCACCCCTCTCCTCCGGGCTTCTCTTCTGTCCCGGGAAGGAGAAAAGGTGCCCGCGTTTCACCTGGGGAGAGGTGGAGGCTCACGGGGCTCCACTTGCCTCAAGTCAGGCATGGGGCGGGGATGACGGAGCCAGTGCTCCAGCTCCACCCGAGCTCGCCCAGGCCCGGGTTCTCACTCCCAGCATGCGCACCGTGGAGTGGGGACCGGCTTAACCTGCAGCACAGTCCCTTTCAGCTGGGCACTGCCCTGCCACCAACCCCTGGGGAGGAAAGCCACCGCTGGTGGAGGACCACATGAGGAAGGAGCAGCTCCTGGGAACAAGGACTGTGGGGCAGGAAGGGAAGGTGTGGGCTTGTCTTAATTACATCAGGATCCCACCTTCTCTCTGCAGCAGAGGGTGCAGCAGCAGCAGCCAGGGTGGTGGCAGGGGAGACTGGCGGGAGACAGGGGCACAGCAGAACTCAATTATGTATTTGGAGTCAATGGCTGGGACACTGGGGGAAGATGCTCAGCCATCATGGGGATGAGCAAGTACGGCATCAAGTGGGAACAGGGAGAATCAATAGGGGAAAAGCACGTCAGGCCAGCGCCCTGCGTGGCAGAACCCCCACCTGAAGCTCCATCTGTCCCATTTCAAGCCCAACAGGAGACCAGCTGCTTCCTAGGAGGAAAATCCTATGCCCACATCCTCTCTTCCCTTAAAAACCAGCTGTCAGACTTATAGAAGACCTACTGTGTGCTGAATGCCACTCGGGGTACAAAGCTGAGCGAGACGCAGCCCTGATCTTTAGAGCTTAGGGACTAGGTGGAGGGGCAGAGGGCACACAGGGGCCCTCACCCGGATCCACTGTGCTAAGGGTCCAGGAAACGGAGCCTATGGAGGGTCTAAAGAGGCCAGGGAGAGCCCGGACACCCAGAGCGGTCACCAAGGGCTTCCTGGAGGAGGAAGCATTTTAGTTGGGCACTGTGGGATGGATGGGAGATTTGGAGGCTCATTTTCTAGGCATCCTCCTAGAGGATGGAGCCTCGCCCACGCAAGTTGGCTGTTTCCCCCCAGTTGTATCTGCACGGTAGACTTCCAGTAAGACCCACACTGCAGAGTTTCCCCAGAAACATGACGAGGTCATCCCCCACATATATGGAATGATAAAGAACCCAGAATAGCCAGGGCAATTTGGAAGAAGAAAGAGGGAGAAGAGAAAGGGAGCCCCACCGTAGCTCACATCAACACGAAGCCCCAGTACTGAAGAGAGTTGGATAGATCAACAGATAAAAAGAACAGGAAATAATGCCCTGGGACAGACCCCAATGCATATGGCGTTTGGACACAACCAAGGGTGGAGTATGGTCTGGTGGATGGATGACCTTGGGACAACGGAATACCGTGGAACAAGGTCAGATTGGGTCTCTGCTCACACCGCCCACAAAATAAGTTTCAGAAAAATTTATCTCTAGGACTAATGTAAATGTGTGTGTATGTGTGTGTGTGTGTGTGTGTATGTGTGTGGTGCTGGGGCTGGAACCCAGGTCCTCACACATGATAGGTAAGCGTTCTACCACTGAGTCACATCCCCAACCCATTATAAAACTTTTGAAAGAAAATAGACCAAAAAACTTCATGATCTTAGAGTAGAAGGTACATAAGACACAAAAAGCATAAATGATAAAGATAAACAATGACAAGCTTTATTTCATTAAAATTAAGAATGTCTATATAATGCAAAAAAATGAATAGTTTTTTAAAAGCCACAGACTAGGTGAAAACATTTGAAAACTGGATAATAGAATTGGTCCCCAAAATAATTTTTTAAAAAATTTTTTTCTAGTTGTCGATGGACCTTTATTTTATTTATTTATATGTGGTGCTGAGGATCCAACCCAGTGCTTCACACATGCTAGGCAAGTGCTTTACCACTGAAGTACAACCTCAGCCCCAAAATAATTTTTTAAAACTCTAAAGGGCTGGTTAGTTCAACAGTAGAGACTTGCCTAATATGCATGAGGCCCTGAGTTCGGTCCCCAGCATGACACACACACAAAAGTATATGAAAGAGATTCTCAACTAGTAAACTTGGAAATGCAAATTAAAACAATAATCAGATAGCATGTTACACCAATCTGATTGGCAGAGTACTAGTACTGGCAAAGCACTAGTACTGATGAAGGAATGGGGGAGCATCAACATTTATAAACTGCAGGTGGGAATGAAACCGACATAAGTACTTTGTGGAGCAATTTGGAAATGCTTAGTAAGCATTAAACAAGTCTGTGACCCCAGCAACTCCACCACTGTGTGTGGCCCTTGAGTTAGGTTTCCCAACAGGACCTGGGACGGGGATTCTAGTGCAGGTGACTTATTGAGAGACAGTTCTGAGAGCAGTGATGCATTTACTGTGGGAGGAAGTGCTAAGCAATGGTGGGTTCTCAGCCAGGTGGGAGGCTGAGGCAGGAGGATAGCAAGTTCAAGGCCAGCCCCAGCAACCTAACAAGATCCTGTCTCAAAATAAAAAGTAAAAAGGGCTGGGGTGTAACTCAGTGGTAGAGCACCCCTGGGTTCAATCCCCAATGCCTCCCCCTGCCAAATAAGCGTTCTCAGTGGGAGATAAGCTTAGTCAGACCCCAGGGGAACTGGGGAACACTCATGACACCAGAGTTGATCTCTTTTTTCAGGCAAGAGCCCATATGCTGTACCCCATTTTAGTCAGTCACTGGCATGGGCTATCCCACAGGGCGCTAGAGCTTCCTGGGTGAGGAGTTTACAAGGAAGAGAGCAGCTATGAGCCCTCAGCATCAGCCCTTACTGCAGCCAGGGGGTGGACCCGGACGGGACACCCACAGCGCCTCCCGTGGTACCCCAGAGAAACACACATCTGCAAGAGGACACGTCCACGGATGCCCATGGACCTTGGCGTGGGACAGAAAAGCAAAGAGACGCTACCCGCCTCTCAACAGGAAAGCTGGGAACCTAACTGCTTTATATCCAGTGGAATCTTCTACGCAGTTCAAATGAGTCCACCAGATCAATAGGCGTCAGCACGGCCGAGTCTCCGAAATGGATATGGGGTGAAAAAATCAGAGACGGAGGAATATGCACAGTGTTCTACCATGATATAAGCCTCTAAGAGAGATGTGACGATAGAACATACAGGGTTTAGATGTCCACCTGATAATAACTGCACAAAATGTGTGGGGCAGATAAATACCCATCTCCAGCCCTGCTAAACCTCACTGGATTTTCTTTTTTTCTTTCTTCTTCTTCTTTTTTTTTTTTTTTTTTTTTTGGTACCGGGGATTGAACCCAGGGGCACTCGACCACTGAGCCACACCCCAGCCCTATTTTGTGCTTTATTTACAGACAGGGTCTCACTGACTTGCTTAGGGCCTCACCATTGCTGAGGCTGGCTTTGAATTTGAGATCCTCCTGCCTCAGCCTCCCCATGCCCTGGGATTACAGGTGTGCGCCAAAGCCCCTGCCTTGACTTTCTTTTCTAAAAGCTGGAACTCCAAAATAAATATGGCGACATGTTAGTGCTCACTTCATCTTGGTGGCGGGCACATATGTCCTTCTTACCTGATTTTCTGGGTTTCCCCCTTGTGTGTTGAAATTTTTATAATTTAAAGTAACGTTTGAAAACCACACGGAGGTGGGGGCAGACAGAGGAACTCTCTGTACTTCCCCCTCAGTTTTTCCGTGAAGCTAAAACTTCTCTTTAAAAAATAAATTTTGTTAATTATTGTTTCTTAACCCACAAGGGCAGGGCTCCGAAGCTCAGGGGGTCAGAAGAGACGCAGAGGACGGGCCGTCGGGGCCGCTGTCCAGGGTGCTGGGCGCCAGGGCGGGGCAGCAGCTCCGCAGGACCCGTCTGCTCTCTCGGATCCCTGCCTCCAGCCCAGGACGCCCTCAGGGAACCCCCCACTGCTCTCCCGGCCCCCGCTCGCCCCCATAATCCGTTCCCGCAAGGACTCAAAGGAGTCTTTTAAGAACATGATCCGGATCGTGTTGGTCCCAACCCTCGGAAAGCCGCCGGTCCCGTCTAACAGCGGCTCCAGTCCTCCTCCAGCGGGCCCTCGGCTCGTGCCCTCGGCTTCCTTCGGACCTGGACCTGCTGGGCCACAGCCTCAGGAGGCTCCACCAGGTGCCACCGCCCCGGAGAGGCCGCCCCTCATGCTTCCCCGCGTCACTGAGTCCTCTCATTTATCTGTTTATTGACATGGTGGCTTTCTGCGCCCCCCCCCCACGCAATGCCATCTAAGGAAAACCCAGGAGCCCCCTCTGATTTTCTGCACGCCTTAACCCCAGGATGGAGCTGCAGACATCTGCTGGATGGGGGAGTGCGTGAATGTCTACTGGGCACCTCTTTGGTGACAGGCCCTGTGCTTGGCTCTGAGGATTCCAGAGTAAATAGGATAATCCTTGCCCTCAAGATACTCCCAGGCTGGAAAGAGCAGAAGAGCCAAATCCCAGAACCGGGATGTTGGAATAATCCCCTTTGCTCTTATTGTAGAATTAGAGGACGTTGGAGTAATCGAATTTCTCCTTCCTCACCGCCCCCCACCCCTTGTTTCTTAACTGAAGTAGCTCAACGCTGCCCAGAGAAGGACAAGGACTCCCCCACGCTCACAGAGCATCAGAGGCACAGTCTGTGTCTGAGCCCAGGTCACCTCACATTTTGCCTCAAACTTTGCTTTTTAAAGAAGGCCCTGGAGCAACTTTGGGCCTCTTCCATTCTGGCTCCTGGGTGCCCTTTAGGTATCCTTTGGAGGGACAGCAAATTCCCAGGGAAGCAGTTGAAGGGGCTGATGAACGACTCCAGGCCCAGGCCCCTGACCCTCTCATCAGACACAGTGCCTTCATGCCACCCTTAGGATCCCGCTCTCGGGAGCAAGCTTTGTACCCTTTGGACTTCCCCAGCCAAACAGGACGCTCCCAAAGCTGGCCAGATCCGGCTGGGAGTCGGG